ATTGAATTTGAAGCAAATAAGACAAAATAAACCTGATGGTTAAGGGACTCCTAATTTCTTGGTTTTAAGCTCAATCTACTTGGAACCCCACGGCTCCCTGGTTGACAGCTACAGTTCTAAACCCAATCTATGTTAAAATGTGAGATAATATTTTCAATTAAAAAAAATTGATTACAAGCATGTTGATCACCGTTTCTACATATGAAAAAGGGATCTCTATGAACATTCAGAACAATTCTACCAACATGTAAAATTACAGTTGAATATCTAGACTTTCCTCCTTTAGAAACTGACTGATAACACGATGAGAAAGGGTGCCAGGTCTAATACCCAATGCATCTTCAGGACGGACTGGACCACATGTGCTCAGTGGAAACTGAGGGGCTGGTGCCCTCATTTCATTTTGCAAACCTGACTTTTAAGCATGACTTGGTCTGAATCTTCAAAGAAGTTCTTGAGAAGAAAAATTGTTATCATTCACATTTTAAGTGCAGGCCATGTGGAGCAACTTGGTGAGATAAATCTGTGAGAAATTCCCAAAGATGAATCCCACGTGGAGGGAAGAATCTGGCCCACAGACTTCCTCTAATTAAATGCCTGTCTAATAAAATGCCATCGATGGCATCCAGATGACTATTAGAGGGCTGAGGCAATTCATTTTAAGTTTCTGGAACTCATTAAGTGCATTTCTTCATGCTAAAAGAATTTCTTGCCTTTTTAGTTTGTCCTTAACAAGCAACAGCCAAAGCAACCACAAAAGGGTCTATAATTTACATATTTTGAAATCATATCTAACAAAAGACATTAAAGCCAGGAGGCCTGTTGTATAGCCAGGGGTGGCTTCAAGATCTGTTTCTATGTCGGGTTTGTTTTCCATCCATGGCCTTTGAGATCTGTCACAGAGCAGCAGAGAGCTGCCTGTGTCTGAAGGCCTGGGGTCCTCGTTGATCCTGGTGACCTGTGCGACAGCTATTATATTGTAAAGATCAGTTGACAGGTCTTAGGAAACCCTCTGGGAACCCGAATGACCTGACCCAGCCTCTAATCATCTCTGGCCTCCCCTCATCAGTGCTCTGGAATCTTCCTGAGTGAATACTCTCAGCATATCAGGATATATGGCCTTGAAATAAAGGATACCCCCACTGGGTGGTTATTGTTTTGGGTATCAGAGATTGAACCCAGGGGCACTTAACCACTGAGCCACAGCCCCAGGCCTTTTTAAAAATTTTTATTTTGAGACAGGATCTCACTAAGTTGCTTAGGGCCTCACTAATTTGTTGAGACTGGCTTTCAACTTGCCATCCTCTGGTCTCAGCCTCTCGAGCTGCTCTGCTCGGATTACAGGTGTGCACTATGGTAGCCAGCTACCCGCATTGTTTTAAGCACTATTAATTATACCAGGATTGATGCTTAAGTAAATACTGGCCAAGAAGCAGAAACAGAGTTGCTTGGCTGGTACAAGACCAGTAAGAGAAGAGCCCATGTGCAACTCTAAAATCGGAAATGCTCCTCACTATAAAACAGGACACAAGGCATGACTGACTGCTTTCAAAACCCTTTACATAAAATTGCTTCTGTAGGAAAAAGCATAACACAACAGCTGCTGGAGCATGTTTACATTTGATGACTTGTGTTCTACTTGCATTATAAGTTAATAAGTAGTGCTCACTCACATTTCATCATCAGACTGCTATATAATTAGAGGTAAAAATAAAATTCATTTGAACAAAATCACCTTCACAGTTAAACAATATGATCCCAAACTCGACTCTGCTCAACTCACATTTGACGAAGCTTTCATATAGGGAATTGATGTCTTTTACTAAGTCTAAATACAATACATAAAAATGTGTCTTAACTGCAAAACCCCACAATGCGAAAAGCAGTTCTTTCTACCTATTATGGCCCGAAACTGCCTAACTCAAGTTGATATGATTCCTAATGGTCACATCTGATTTTAATTATTAAACCATACAAGATTCTCCAAAATTAAAATATAGATTCTAAAAAGTCCTATGCACCAGTATATCACACGGAATAAAATGTCGAAATCTAGCGACCAAGGTCTAGTTTCAGCTCAGTTGTGTGATAGCTATATTATTATGTGAAACCACTTAACTTCATCAGATCAGTTTTCTCATCCAAAAAAGAAGGTTTGCCTAGATGATTTCTAAGGTCTCCTTCTAGTTTTAAAATTCTGTGATTCTGTTGAATATAAAAGTTCTAAAGCAAGATGTAAATAGACTACTTCAATGAACAACTTTCAAAAACTATTCAATAATCAGTTTGATTCATCAATCATGCACTGAATCAAATGATTAGAAAAATGAAATTAGAATATTTGCATAAAATTGGATTAAGTCATCAAAATCTTTAAAACAGACCTCTTGACATTCATGTGGACAGAGGATCATTCATGAACCACAAGGTGATTGATACGTCTGTTTGTTCTAGGCTGCTGCCAAATTCTACTCTGTTTCATAAATATGCCTAGTTCCTCCCCTACGAAGAGGCCACAGGATGAGTTCTGTAAGGCCGCTGGAAGGATGGCACATCAGAGATGTATCATGGTTACAACTCTTTTCCATAATTTTGCAGTTACTTTGTATCTAAAAATCTTATTCTATGATTTAAACTGTCCCAAAGACTGAAAAATACAAATAACAGGCATTTAAAAAAATTTCATTTATAATGCTTTTCTTACTATGCAAGCAAGCAAAAAAAAAAAAAATTAGCTAACAGTTTCAAATGTGTTCTGGTAGATTCTACAAGGCAATCAGCTCTGGTTGAGAAGTGACCCTGGCTTGTCCAGTAGAACCATCTGGGGAGCCCAAGCTGGAACCTGGACCAATAGGTCACAATGGCGAGGGTCAGGGCCAGGCATCACTGATTTACATGGCTCAGGTGTGCAGCTGATGCAGACACACAGTGTGCGTTAAGACCAGGCTCCCTGATCTACAGGGGGGAAATGSTGGGTGGGGGTGTCTGACAGAGGGGAGCGAGGCTTAGAATACGTCAACTCTTGCTACTCAACACTTTTTGTTCCTGCTCAAAGAAACATCCAGTGTCACTGTTCCCAGGAGAAGACACTGTTTGTAAGAATGTGCATGAAAACCAACCAAGGGCAGTGATRCTGGAGAGTGGTCTCTCTGGGCTGCGTGTGATTGACAGGCACACATCTAGCTGGCTGACCCCCTGGAGACCTGGAGCCCACGGGGAGGCGTGACTTTCCCCTGCGTCACTTCTCGGTGGCATTTCTGTTTCACCGACGGATTCTGAGAGCCAGAACGAAGACCTCTTACAACCTAACCAGCAATTTGACCTGCCAATACAAGCCCAAACCAAACCAGCAATTCCAAGTTGGTCAGGATTCAAGGGGATCTGATGACCTTTACAGCATTTCATATGAAGCCTAGAAAGCAGAGACAACCCCACCTTCTTCCCATGAAAATATTCATTATTCTTGACTAAAATTTCACGGACACAATCTCAATTAGCAATCCACTCTGGACACTGGGCCTTGAATTTTGTCCACTCCTCATTTTATGAAGCAGAGAAAAGTGGCCTTCCTTTTACAAAAGGGAAGAGAGAGGTAGCCAGTGCCTTTCCTGTGACCTCAAAAACACTTCAGTCACTCAACCAACAGGAGGGGGATCTGCACACAGAGCTGAGCACACGGAAAACTGCCATATAAATATAACACACTACGCACGTTACCAGATCCGTCACCAAGTGTTTCCTCCTAGCCTTCAACCAGTAAGACACACAAGCTCCTGGCACCTTGTCACGAGGACACCATCCACCTCGTCTGGAAATAAGCCACTTGTGTGAAGTTTTATCTTTCTTAAAGAGATTTTAGAAGTCGTATGCCTGTCCAAACCTGTGCCTGTCCAAAACTTCCTCTAACAAATGTTGTGTAAAAATTAGCAAGTCACTAGAATGGATCATCTCTGTTGCAACCCTGGACTCATGACCCCCGCTAACCAACAGCTGGCCACTTGCCTTCTAGCGTCCTCACTCCTCCTCCTCCTCCTCCTCCTCCTTCTCCTCACTTGGAGGCAGCCCACCCGAGGCCATCTGACTTCTCCGCACAGAAGAAGAGCTCAGAACTGCGGGGCGGCCAAACACGAGGGGCTGGCCCAGGGAGCTCACCAGAGCAGAGTCCGAATCACTGGATTCAGTCTCACTGCTGGTGGGGCCCTCCRTCATGTGCAAGGGTGCCAGCTGGCCCCCCACGCCACTGGTGTGCCCTGACCGCACGAGGGGCACCTTGGAGGGGGGACCCCTGAGAGGTGCACCGTTGGCCAGCATTCTAGCTTCAGCGGGGGCCGGGTGGGCTAGGCCTCCCTTTGGGTGGTCATCAAGCCTATCCCCGTCCTCTGCGGCAGACGCCACCTGGCTGAGGATGAGCGGATCTGTCTCTGACTTGTTGTACCTACTGGGGAGGTTCCGTAAGTATGGCCGCTGCAGGGTGGGGGAACAGTTTTCCTCCCGAGGACCCCTCTTGGGGAGAGTGTCTTCTCCCGAGTCTCCCTCTCTAAGCTCAGGTCCGTTTTCAGAAACATAGCCCTGGGACCCGGTTCTGTCCCAGCTCATATCTGGACTTGAACTTCTGCTGCCGGGGGACAGTTGGGTGGCCAGGGGGCCGTGGCCCGTGGAGGCCCTGAACATTTCATCTATCAGGGAGCTATGTCTCGGGAGTCCGGGACTCCCACTCAGGTCAAAGGTTATGTCTGCGGAATCGTCATCCAGGAACTGTCTGGACGGGGGCCGGGAGGACTTGGCGGAGGGAGGGGAAGCCCTGCGCCTAGCCTCTGAAGGCCTCTCCTCCCTGGAGAGCAGATAAACACCGCTGGTCAAATCACCCTCATAGTTGTCATTTGTTTGGGACCGCGACCGGGACGCGTGTTCTCTGAGGAGGTCGGATTCGCTATCTACATCACTGCAGTCAATGAAAGGGATGGAAGTGCTGCTGCCTCTGGCAGCCCGGGATGCTGGACCTGTGCTCGGCTGCGGGGGCTGAGGTTTACTCTGCGGGACGCGCTCCCTGACGCCCTCCTCCTCCTCCTCTTCCTCGGGTGGCGCCTTGGTGGCTCTGTCTGCCGGCTTGCTCCCCGCGGGGCTCTTCTTCAGAGCGGGGCTTTGGTGTGGCCCTGACTCTGGGGTGGACACTTTCAGTTCCTTTCCTGGCTGGCAGCTCTGGCCACCGGGGGAGTCGGCACCTTCTCCGAAGGTAAGGCTGGTGCTCTGCGGAGACTGGGGGGGGGGGGACAGGAAGAGAAAGGGGACTGTTAGTCCGGAGCTACAGGAATAGAAGTCTACAGCCGCTCCTCGGGCTCCAGGGCTGGAAGGTCTGCCTCGCAGAGCCTGCCTGGCCCTCCCCAGGGCTCCACGAGGCTCTGATGAGGGGCAGGCGCTTGGAGGGGCGTCGTGACCTGGAAGGTTCTTTCAGGGTCGGGAAGCTGAGGCTGGGTCCCAGCAGCCCTTGGTCACCGTCCCTGCTGTCTAGGACCCACGGTGTCAGACRGGGTTTCTGTGGAAAAGCCCTTCCAGCCCACGAGAAGCTTCTGAAGCAAGGGTGGGTAGGGACAGAAGGAAAGCCCGTCCTGGACCCCCAGCATGTCCCTCAGGAACACCGTGTCCTCTCAGCTACACCTCCCAGGGGCCAGGCAGGTTGAGAGCTCTCTCTGGACTGGCACAATGAAACCTCCTGCACATTCCTTCTCAACAAAGGTCTTATTCTCTTCAAGAGAAAACTCTGAAAATGTACCCAGAGGCCAACTCTGGGGAAAATGAGTTCTCGCCACCCTCCGCGCAAGAGCCAGAACGWCTTCTGGTGCCAGTGTGGCCACTGCCCTGTAACACGAGTCCTGGGAACCTGCTGCCCAGCTCTGAGCCGGCGGAGGCCCCCAACCCTGGCACCACTTGGCAGCAAAGAGGGTCCTACCTCTTCACGCAGGTGACCCTCTCAGCGGGCAGGAGGTCTCAGCTCTATAGCGTCTGTGCCTGTCTCTGCCTCCGAGTTCAGGCCAATAGAGAGAGCTTTCCAGAGGCCTAGACATGGACAGTCAGCCCAAACTAGGCCCCACTCCTGCTGTGCCCACAGAGCACAAAGCCTCTGCTGGTCAGAGGCAGTGCACAACCTTATTCCCATTTGTAACACCCCAAGGGACAGAGGACTAGAAAGCACTCTGCCAGGCCCAGAGCTCGGCGGAGGAATTCGGTGATCAGTTAGAACGMTCACTGACCTGTTTTGGCACTTCTGAATTTGGTTCTGTGGGCTGCGTAGCAAGGCTCCGGATGGAATGAATCTTGCTGTGTTTTCTGGGAGAGATCACAGGAGACAGCTAACATTAGAAGAATTTTGTTTTTAAATAAAACAGGCCTTCCACTGAAGCAGCACCAGGTCCTCTCTCGATAAGGAAATCCAAGCCGCTTGCAGGAGCAGRACTTGGAAACCCTCACTTGGTCCTGTTTCTCCAACACCTACGTGGCCCTGGGGAAGGCACACTCTGAGGACGTTCTGCCATCCCTGTGCAGCTGCAGCCGGCCTGACAGACAGGCACCTCCGCTCACTGGGGACGACTCAAGGCTAGAAGAACCACTGGGCCTCGGAGGCTCTGAATGGCGAGCCGAGGTCTAACAACAGGAAATCAATTCGGGTATTATGTAGAACTAATTTCTACATTCGTTCTATAGTAGAGGATATCACCGCTATCAACTTAGTCTCTTAGGGACAAAGGGCTACATGAATTATAGACTTGGAAGTAGAAAGAAGGGACTTAGAGACCAGTAACATGGCTCCTTTATCTTTTCCCCTCCTTGGTTCACCTGGGTCCCTACTCCCACTGAAGAAGCATCAGGAAAAATTTTCAGGTACTCAGATTCAGGAAACGGTATAAATATATCCTGTGGAACAGCTACATTTGGATGTTTGTACGACAAGAGTGAATGGGGCCACCTCTTATGTGGTCCTCAAAATACAAATTGCTACTTGTTCAAGAAAATTACAGGGTTTGTTATCTCCAGATATGCAGGCAAAACCCTCCTTCCTGCACATGACATTTCTGGATAAAGGACWTGAAAAACCATCAGAGATTGGCATAAGGTTTGTTTCAGCAAAATCAAAACACAACACTGAAACAACTCGAATGTTTATCAACAAGGAATGAAAACAAACACTATAATACTATAGGACACTTCAGATGGATCTTAAAAACAGGACCCTGTTAAAAAAGTGGGGTGCATAATTAGATTTCTTCAGGCTTGGGAACATAGGCACATACATAATGAGGTGTCCTGGGGATGGAGCCCAACATGAAGTTCATTAAGGTTGAGTTCCCACCTTATGCACATAGCCTGAAGGCAATTTTACATGATGATTTTGGTCTGCTGACCCTGCCCTCAGCAAGTCACCCCATCTTCCTCATTGTCATCATATTCTTCTCATTTCACCTTACTCTGGAGTGTGTGCCCAGGGTCAAAAAATGCTCCTCTCATACCAAACTTGCTGAGGGTAACTGTGGGGCAGGAATCGTGACACTACCCAACCCCACGCCTGGCGAGGAAACGCTCAGGAGTAACAGACTGTTGCCTGATGAGTATGGACCAGCATCAGAGCTCCTCTTACCTTTCAAACTGCACTTTTTTGTGTCCTCCTTCCTTAACATAGTCGAGAACCTGCTTCTGAGTCCGACCGCTAAAATGCAGACCATGGAAGGAAAGGGAAAGACACCAAGGTGATCTCATTTAAATACATACACACAGAGCTCCGCCATCTCTGCTTCCCCGCCTTCCCTAACTGGGGGAAACGCAGGTGCCTGTGCCAGCCAGGAGTAGAGCCATCCCGAAGAGAACCTGAGCTGCTGTGTCCATTCACTCTCTCGACAGTTCTCTTACGCACAATAGACAAGGCCTTCCATTAGCTTAACCCACTAATGAGTGTGTTTGGCTATGAAGCGACCATCCCCAGACAGATCATGACAGGAGGGACAGTGTGGTCCACTGTTGGACTTCCACTGGCTCCTACAGGATTCAACACATGGTAGACGCTCAGATACTTGTTAAGAACTCAAGTGTGAACCAAAGATGGGCAAGTCTACATAGGGTTCTAAATGTAAATAAGATACTTTGCTGCTACAGAGAAAGGAAATTGTTTCTGGGTTAGAGAATTATGTGTTTACTGGGGCTGGGTAACTGCCACGTGGCTCTCTAAGGATGACACTCTGAGCCAAGCCCAGGCCCCCATCAACCACAGCTCCTGCAGCCCAGTAAGTGTTCCTCCTAACTCCTTGCTCTATGTCACAACAGCTGTGACAGGTCTTAGGAAACGTCTCAGTCACACTCCCACGGCACACGAGCAGGTGTGAAGTGGCGCTATTACCTGAAGCGAAATGATGACCCTCGACTAAAGAGAACAGGCTTTGGCTTTGGTTTGGGCTCTTCRAAAAGTCTAAAAAAGGCGTGATGTTCCACACAGATTTTCCAAAAGGACTTGCAAAAATCCCGACTGGCCATTAGGAATTCCAAGGTGTCCTGGTATGAGCTCTGAAAGAACAAAATACAGCTTTGGTTTTYCCCATTGTTCACAGTCATTCTGTTGAAACACGAGAAAAGGAATAGAAACGAATTTGTCCAATAAGTTTTCAATTGTGCATTTTATTGCAGCAAGATCATTAATTCAAAGACTCATTCAAATATAGTTGTTCYAAGGACAAGAGGTAGTCATGTTTCTATCATCTTCTTCCCCACAGAATTCCTTTTAGGAACCAACATAAACCAGCGGCACTGACTGAGCAGAAATGGTGCCCTGCTTTGACAGAATCCATAAACAAACCACAATCACTTGGCTTACATTTTCTTCTTTAAAAAAAAAAATCCAAGTATTAAAATTCCTCCTTTGCCTCTTTAAAATGACTAAAACACCCGTCTTCCTCCTGCTTTCTTCCTCATGGTTCCTGTTAACATTGATTTTATCTCGAGTCATTTTCTACTAAGCAGCACACACAGAGGTTTCAGGATGGTGGAACAGGGCAGCCACTTTCCTGGCTGCTCTGTGGAGTAAAACCAAGAGAGCAGACAGGCAGCTTCTCAGGTGGGTGAAGAAAAAAGAGGTGGGGTACCTTACTGGAATTTAATACTGGACACTCAAAATAGATTGGGGACTTAGGACGTTGGATATAATAACATGAGGAAGAAATCTCCAGYGCCATAGYCACTACCATGGCTGGAGACACCAACCACAGAGGTCCCTCCACCAGCACAGAGGAGCGATGATAAGGGGATTAAAGGAACCAGGATTTTAAGGGGGACTGAAGTGTGGCTGGGTACAGAGAGTTTAGAGATCAAAGACGCTGCCCGACTAAACCACAAGGCAAATAGCCYGAAGAGGAAAGAAACTGGTGTAAAGGACAGAGGGAGGAACCGTTTTGCATCTACAGCACTGGGACCTGCAGCTGAGGGAGCCGAGTCCTGGGAAACCCGAGTCTGGCCTCAAATACAGGCCTGGCCAACCCACCGACATAGAGTGTACCGAAGTGACCAGGAGACATCAAACATGGAGAGAGGTTTATACAGGGGTCAGTGGTCACAGAAACCCACTGGTCTCTCCCCCTCCTCCTCTAATCCGGCTGCTTGCAGGACTGGCTGGGAGAGATGSGCCTGGATGGGAATTTGAAAGGGCAGGGGCAGGAGAGATTGAGTTTGGAGACTGAACCCAGGACCAGGAACCTTGGGGTCCGCAGGTGATGGAGTGGACTAGCATTGGTTCCTCCACCACCTGAGTGGCACTTAGGGGTGATCCTGGGAGCAGTCTTCCAGCGTGCACTGGCAATTGCTGGGCTTTGGAAGTGTGTGGATGTAGGACCTCCAGACCAACTGGCATCCAGTGAAGAGCCTGGAGTTAATCTAAACCTAACCCCCTCCAGGGGTTCCACCTACAGGATCACCTCTTACCCAGCACACCCACTCGGAGGGTGGAGCAAGCATCGTACTCCAGACAACCCTACCTAACTGCGGAGAAGGGAGGCTGAGAATCTTTTGAACTCCAAAGGAAAYGATTCTTTTCAGAGATTTTTTTTTTCTCATTTTTTTCTTTTCTCTGCTTAATTGTGGCCTTAATGGGTCATGGACATTTATACTATTCATATTTTTTTCTTCTCTCATCTTCATTTTTGAAACCATATTTTTCAWGGATAAGTTTTCGAGGACTAGGAAGTTTAATCAGTATATTTCAGTATTGTTTTGTATACTCTTTTTTTGATTTTTAAAATTATT